GCAGACAAAGGTGTCTACAGCCATGCCTAACACTGTGAAACTGATCCCCACAGATAGAAGAGAACCAAGTCCCTAAATCTGCCCTTTGACCTCCACACATACACAGTGGTACCACTGTGCCCACAGACTTCTCTCTCTCTCTCTCTCTCTCTCTCTCTCTCTCTCTCTCTCTCTCTCTCTCTCTCTCTGTGTGTGTGTGTGTGTGTATGTGAGTGTGTGTATGTGTGTGTGTTACATAAATAAAATATAATAAAAACTTTAAGCCAGGCGGCGGTGGCGCACGCCTTTAATCCCAGCACTCGGGAGGCAGAGCCAGGCAGATCTCTGTGAGTTTGAGGCCAGCCTGGTCTACAGAGCAAGATCTAGGACAGGCACCAAAACTACAGAGAAACCCTGTCTCAAGAAACCAAAAAAAAAAGTAAATTTTTTTAAAAATTAAAAAATAAGGACTTTAAAATTGTAAAAATTTAACACTATAAGTAGAATAACCTGTTGGGCAGTGGTGGTGCACACCTTTAATTCCAGCACTTGGGAGGCAGAGGCAGGGGGGGTCTCTTAGTTCAATGCCAGTTTTGGTCTACAAAGTGAGTTCCAGGGCAGCCAGGTCTGTTACAAAGAGAAACCCTGTCTCGTGGGTAGGAGGGAATCAGATACACTGAACCTGATGGAAAAGAAACTCAGGAATAGTCTTGAATGCATTGGCACAGGAGACAACTTCCTAAACACCACCACCATCATGTAGACATTAATATCGACAATTAATAAATGGGACCTCAAGAAACTGAGACGCTTCTGCAAGGCGAAGGACACTGTCAATAGGACAAAATGGCAGCCTACAGAATGGAGAAAGATCTTCACCATCCCCACATCTGACAGAGGGCTGATCTCCAAAATATATAAAGAACTCAAGAAACTAGACATCAACAACCAAATAATCCAATTGAAAAACAGGGTACAGATCTAAGCAGAGAATTCTCAGAATTGCAAATGGCTGGGAAACACTTAAAGAAATGTTCAACATCCTTAACCATCACAGAAATGCAACTCAAAATGACTCTGAGATTCCATCTTACACCTGTCAGAACAGCTAAGATCAAAAACACAAATGACAGCTCATGCTGGAGAGGATATGTAAGGGGGAACACTCCTCCACTGCTGGTAGGAGTGCAAACTTGTACAGTCACTTTGGAAATCAATATGGTGGTTTCCAAGAAAACTGGGAATTGATCTCCCTCAAGACCCAGCTACACCATCCCAGGGCATATACCACAAGGACACTTGCTTAAATATGTTCATAGCAGCTTTATATGTAATATCCAGAAACTGGAAACAACCTAGATGCCCCTTAGCAAAAGAATGGATGAAGAAAATGTGGTACATTTACACAGTAGAGTATTACTCAGCTGTTAAAAACAATGACATCATGAAATCTGGAGGCAAATGGATGGAACCAGAAAAAAAATCATCCAGAGTGAGGTAAACCACATCAAGAAAGATGAATATTATATGTACTCACTTACAAATGGATATTAACTATAAAGTACAGGACACCATGTTACAATCCACAGACCCTGAGAGGCTAAGTAACAAGGAGGGCTCAGGGTGGCATGCATGAATCTCCCTGAGAAGGGGAAATAGAATAGATTTCAAGGGAGAGATGGGAACAGGAAGGATCCTTTGCGTGCCCACGCGGGGAGGGGGGGTGTTGAAGGGAGAGATGACTAGAATTTGGGGGCATTTCAGGGACGAGGTAAAAACCTAGTGCAATGGAAACTCCCTGGAATCTATGAGGGTGACCCTAGCGAAGACTCCTACTAATGGAAGATACAGAGCCTGAAGCGGCCATTCTTCTGTAACCAGGCAAGCCTTCCAGTGGAGGGACTGGGACACCAACCCAGCCACAAACCTGCAAAACCCTTCAACCTACAATTTGACTTCCCTAAAGACATGCTGGGGTAAAAGTGGCAGAGAACGTGTGGGAGTGGCCAACCAATGATTCAATAACACTCTACCATTAAACAAGACTGAACCTCTCCACAATAGAGAGGCATTTCTCCAGGTTCAATGTGGGGCAATCTGAAACACGCTGTCAACTTAATCTAATAATTCACCTAAAGCAAGTAAGTATATTGCAGACAATTTTCCTCATTCATGTTTTTTGATCTAAGCATGCTAAATTAGCGTATAAATGAACTCCGGAAAGTCTCTGGTCATACCTTCAATCATTCAATACATAACTTCATTTGATATGTGTCTGTGTTTTTAAGAACAGCTTGTTTAATTTATATTACTGATTCATTAACATTGAATTCATATCAATGGCAATTTAGCTTGTACATAAATGTAGCTTGGCTAACACATACAATGTCTGTATAATACACACTACAGACTTGTGCTGAGGAACATGAGACAGCACCACAGTCCTTTCAACATTATGTTGGGGAATCATTTTAAACAGCAAAATCATCAACAAAAAGCAAGGGAGGAGCATGCGAGGGTGGGGGACAATATTTAAAAACCCTAATTACAACCTAAATCCTGAAACAGGAAAAATAATAGTGTTGTCTTATTCAAATTCAATTTTTGGCCACTCTGTGTAAACACACATTCACATATAACCATGAAAGTGCAAAGAGTATTGATTTGGGGGCTACAAAAAAGTTTAAGCAAATATTGGGTGAGTTCATAAACACAGAACCCATAATTATGATATGAATTATACTACATTAAACAAATTTCATACAAGAGTTTGACTTAGGTACAAACCATGAGAATTGATTTACAAGAATATGGTAATTGAAAGGATAGAAAAAGTAAAAATAAGAACTAAAATGAAATATTAAAATTCTGCATTAAGCTGTGTTGCTGGAGGGCTTCTCTCCAGGTTCCACCAAGCCCCGCAGTCCCACAATCCAAGTATAAAATAATCACTCAGACACTTATATTACTTATAAACTGTATGGCCGTGGCTGGCTTCTTGCTAACTGTTTTTATATCTTAAATTAACCCATTTCTATAAATCTATACCTTGCCACATGGCTGGTGACTTACCGGCGTCTTTACATGCTGCTTGTCCTGGC